ATGGTCTTAAGATCAGGCGCAACCTCAAAGTTAGCATCTGTCTTTGCCTTGACATCCTCGACGCTCACGCCAGGCGCGGTCTCGGTAAGCGTCAAAGTACCACGCTTCCTGTTGACCTCAAACACACACATATCCGTGATGATAGTACTGACGCACTTGGCTCCTGTCAACGGCAGCTTGCATTCCTGGACGATCTTGCTGGATCCGTCCTTCGCGACGTGCTCCGTAGCCACCACTACTTTGGTGGCTTCTGGGTTGCTGACAAGATCCATGGCTCCACCCATGCCCTTGAATACCTTTCCGGGCACCATGTAGTTTGCTAGATCGCCAGAAGCGCTGACTTGGAGAGCGCCTAGGATAGAGACATCGACGTGACCTCCACGGATCATGCCGAATGACTCTGCAGAGTCGAACGTTGAGGCGCCAGGCAGGAGTGTGACTGTCTCCTTTCCGGCATTGATGATATCTGGGTCGAGCTCCTCTTCGGTCGGGTAGGGACCCATGCCCAAGATACCGTTTTCGGATTGTAGCCACACCTTCACACCGTCAGGCACGAAAGACGCTGCTGCCGTTGGGATGCCGACACCCAGGTTGACGTAGTATCCTTGCTTCAGCTCCTTCGCTGCTCGGCGAGCGATTCGGTCGCGACGCTCTGCCGCCTCGTTCTTGGATGATGAATCTGAGGAGGCAGCGGGTTTCCGGAGCTTCTTGATCTCGACGTTCTTGGGAGCTGTGGAAGGAACGATGCGGTCGACAAAGATACCGGGGAGGTCGATGTCGTTCGCGTCAAAGGTACCGATGGGGACGATCTCTTCGGCTTCGACGATGGTGAGGCGGGCCGCTTTGGCCATGATGGGACCGAAGGCTTTGGTGGTGTATCTAAAGTCGTTGTTAGAAACGATGCTCAAAGCACCGGAGTGAGATGTATCTTACCTGAAGACACAGTTACCGGCCTCGTCGGCCTTGTGCGCTCGGATTATCGCAACGTCGCCGGTCAAAGCAGTTTCCATGAGGAACTTCTTGCCATTGAACTCTCTGACCTCCCTCTTCTGACCGAAGCCAACGGCCTTTCCGTCTTTGTCGAACTTTGCGGGGATTTCTCCATCTTGTAGCAGCGTATTGACAGCGGTGGGTGTGTAGAATGCTGGGATGCCCGCACCGCCAGCTCTTATCCTCTCTGCAAGCGTACCCTGTGGACATAGCTCAATTTCAATATCACCACCCAGATATTGCTTCTCCAATGCCTTGTTGTTTCCCAGAAAGCTTATGATGAGTTTCTTGACTTGTCCGCTTTTTGTAAGTAGCGCTAAGCCGCCCACGTCTTCAATGCCAGCATTGTTGGAGACGGCTGTCAAAGAGTGTAGCGATTGGGGGCCGCGCTTCTTCATCGCTCCGATGAGCGTGTCTGCAACACCGCATAACCCAAAGCCCGCGCTCAGGACTGTGGATCCAGGTTGTACGTCTGCGACGGCTTCATCTGCATCTTTGAAGAGCTTCGATTTAGAGCGGTCGATCATGGGAGCGCTTTGACTGATGCTTCGCAGTTGACCTGTGAATCGCCATCGCGGTTGCAGTCGCGCGACTCTTAGTTGTGCGGGGAGAGGGCGTTGTGAACATAACCGCGCTGGCAGAGCTGCGAGCAGCCGGTACGACGAAGGTAATGAATCCATTGTGACGCGCGTGAACAAAGCAGCAGAACAGTGAAGTTAAATCATGGGTTAAGGAGACTCAAGAAGCACCGACTCTGGGAGTATGGGCAGAGCTTTCGCGACTGAAGTCCGAGAGAAGGCCATCGGACGCGTGCGAGAACCGCGCAACCGCTCTAACGTCATACATTTGACATCCGTCGGCGTCATTTCAACTACCGATGATGGAGCGACCTTCGAGCTCGGTGCGGGGCTTCATTTGCCGCGGAATCACATGAGGTTTAGCTTCTGGCGAATTCCGAGGTCGCGCCCCTCTCTCAGCTCCTTCGCGCTTGACGACGCGTCCCGTCTCCATCCGCTTCACCACGCGCCAACGCGAGGTTCTGGGCAGCGGGAAGATGACTTTGCGTGTCTCGGATTCTTTCAGAGCTTCTGGGAAGCCCGTGAAATATCACGAGAAGTGTTGAGACCGTATCGCGCACTGCGTTATGGAAAGTTGAAGTCCGGCAGATTCATCCAATCCGTCCACAATGGGTTGCTATCGTTCCACGGAAGATCCAGTAGCGCTGTGGAGAACAGATCCGAGTTCGTCACAGTCTCGTTGACTTCGTTGTACGACATGGCTGAGAAGTCTAGTGTATCCGGCCAGTAGCTGGATATAGGATCTGGCCCCATTGTATGGTTTTCAGGCATCGCATCATTCACTTTGTATGACGGCGATAGAAGATCTGGTATAGCCATCGACGGTGGTGCAGGATCGTGGGCTGGCAATTGTGGTAGCCTCTCAATCTCCGGCGCCTGCTTGACGAGAACGCGTAAGAAGCGACCGTAGACAACCGAGGCCCCGTTCCGGTGGATGGGTGTGCTGCCTATACGCTCAAGAACTGTTGCGGTATCTTCAATAAGATGTCGAACACTTGGAGCAAGGCTCTTCTGCTTCCCGCCGGCCTCCGGCACGGGTGCACTCAAAGCAAGCGCTATACTTGCAGCGAAGCAAATCATCGTGACGGTGTTGTTCGGCATCGATTTGAGACGTGACTCGCCTTGGATCGCTGCGCGCATAACGTTGAGTGCGGAGGATAGTGCAGACTTTCGGAAAGAACGTTTGACTTCTGGAGGTGCGCTAGGGTGGTTGAGGAGCATTGAGTAGGTTGAAAGCCGCGTGTGTGTAACAAGGATTTCGACATATGGAGGTAGTGTTTTGCTCTCCGGATCAGCGATTACGGAGGGCCAGGCACGAGACCAGCTGTCGAAGAAGCTCTCGATAGACCCGTCGATCTCCTGAGCGACCTTTGTCCCTATTTCGGCGAGACGATAGTTGTCACAGCGCGTACGCACCTCAGCAAAAAGGTCGTCAAGATCGCGGCGGAGGACTGCCATTGACACTAGCGGGCCATCCTGAGCATCGGCCCATCGATGATCGTGCCACTTGTCGCAATACTGGATCAGGCATGTCTTAGGGACGCAGTAGCTGCGCCCGCGGGCTAGACAGACTCCACGCTCCAAGACAAACAGAGAAATCCATACTCTTTCTCTGCGGCGAAGAAGCCGCTGGCCCCATTCCGAATTTGGGTCGACGTCTTCGAAGCCGTCCATCGCCAGTGCTTTTCTTGCGTGAAGACATTCTGACTTCGGTATCTGTCTGACAAGCTCCTGATCGAACGATGTCGATGGCGTTATCACTTTGTCTAGCATAAGATCTAACGCGATCGAAAGCGCTGTAGCTAGATAGAGGCTCGTGTCGTCGTCGCTCGCATGCGACCCTGGAGGCATCCAAGGAATACTGACCATGAAAGCTAGCACGATTTCAACAGATCTGTACTTTCGGGTAATGACTTGCTCGGCTAGGAATCTCCGGTGTAGTAGTAGTCTCTTAGCCAGCGCAGAGGTTTCCGGTAGGAATATAGCGGTCATGGCTAACAAGGTAGTGAACAAAAAGGCAGAGCGGTTTCGAACGAATGGCAATGTATGCACCAACGGGTCGAGCCCCCAGCGTGTGTGTGCTAGCTTTTTGTGGAAGCTGAATTCCGTTAGCTACGTTCTTGAGTCCAGATCCGAGGTTTGATATAACGTACTACTGTAGAAGCATCTCAGCTTCGTCCTTGGTCACAAGCCCAACATCAATCGGATCCAAGCCTGATCCCTGATCAAGATGTGCTTTCATTGGTAGGAAGAAGTGGTGAACGTCGAGAAAAGCGCTCTGCTGGCTACCATTGAATCTGTCTTCAGGGCTGGCGGTACTCTGGTTGTATGATTGTGGTGTTGCAATCCGCAGATCCGAGGCCCGGGCGAGCAGCTGGAGTGGGTTCTCGACATCTTCAACAGCGAGTTGATCGTCGCTTGAAGTACCAACAAGATTACTCGCTGAAATATGAGGATGCACCTCTGAGGCAGGCGATGTGTTCGGGTTTTGATTGGAGTCTTCGTCCCCTTGTGTCTCGCTCAGAAGCTGCTGCAGTTGCTGCAGCGTACTCTGACTCGTAGCTGCATCTGATTTCCTCTTTTTGATGGCTTCCTCAACCTGGTATATTGCCTTCTCTAGGCCCGATCGTTTGCTATGATACAGTCAGTCTAGCCCTTGCCCTGGTGTCTCATCGCTTACTTCTTCACGCCCTTCTGGCGACCAATGTGAAATTCAGGAATTATGCATTCAATCCCGACGTTCTGGCAACGCTCGCATATTGGCGCGCCTTCTTCGCGCCGACACTTGATTTTGCTTTTGCGGCAATTCAGACATGCCGCTTGTTTGGCATTCATTCTTTGACTCTCCTCTATGTTGCGCGATGATATACGATTGTTCCTCTGCCTGGACTGGAAGCCGCCGGCATAGTGTGGCTAACCGTTTGTTGTCTCCAGCGTCGGATGTGTAGAGCAAGCACGGCCTGTTCGCTAGGCCCCAAGCAAAATATTTTCTAAGACCCGATCCTGTGATGCGATATTAGGCAAAAGGAAAGAAGATGAACCTTGGAAGGCGCCGGAGAGCTACTCGGTGCATCAATCCGCGTGTGGAGGTGAGCTAGCTGGTTGTGCGCTAGCATGGACCCTTGTCTTGAACATGGCAGGCGCACCCCAGGTCAGACATGCACAATAACTTACACCGCCGCCGAGAGAGCTTACTCATACCCGAACATATTTTGGAATAAGATGTGATCGGACTGAAGTTCTTGCAGACTCTACGCATACTATGGCTTGCTGTTGGCAAGCATACAAAAGATTGGTGTGGCACCGGGGTTTGTTAGGCAGCACCGGATGAGACATATTCCAGGGTACAATGTGAATGAAATATGTTTGAACTTCATGCAATGGTATCTGTCTGAGCATTGCTACTTCCGTGTAGTGATATCGCTTATAAAATCATGAAGAAGGACCCGGAGCAGTAGCCTCTTCCTCTGTCGCTGCCCTCTCCTTGCCCTTGGTGCCTACACTTGCATTCGACCCATCTTGTGGCTCGGGATCGGCCTCGGTCTTCTTTTCATCTCTCTGCTCGCGCTGTGCTTGGGCCTCTTCTTCCCTTCTTCTCGCCTCTTCCTCCTGACGTTCCCTCTCTTCTCGAGCTGCCACCCTTTCGAGTCTCTCCCTCTCCTCTTGCGCGTGGACCATCCGCTCTCCAACACCAGGAAACAAGCTGGCAACAAACAGCGCAAAAGCGCGTTCGACTGTGCGCATGCTGTCCCTGAACCATCCAAATCTCTGATCTCTCCTCTGCTGCAGTATTCTCCTCGCAGCTTCCTCGGGTGATAGGTTACCTCGATGTTGCGTTTGGCGCTGGTTGTTGGGCTGAGCCACGCGTTCGGCCAAGGCTCCGACAGGGAGAAGAGCCTCGAAGTGACGACGGACAACGTTGAACTGCTCTTGAAACATGCCGGCTTGTGCTAGGTAAACCACACCTGCGACGATACCAAGCATGATAGGTCTATAGAGGCCGCCACCTCCTGAGAAGAAGTAAACAAATGCTGCCAGCTTGAAGATCAGCCACATATGCCCAGCGACGTTGACCATACGATCGTTCTCTTCTGGTTGGTTTACGTTTACGTTCGCATTTTGATTCTGATTTTGGTTCTGATTCTGATTTTGATTCTGGTTTTGGATTTGGTTTTGATTCTGGATCCAGTCCCGACGTTGGGTCTGGCTCATGTTGGCTAGCTGCCTGTGCAGCTCCAAGTTCGGCGGAGAGGGCTGACCCCCCTGTGCTATCTGCTGTCCAAGTCCATTGAGGAGCTGTCTGTTCTGAGCAAACTGGTTCGTAAAACTCTGAAATGGAAGTGTCGAGACCATGGGGGCAGTGGTGTATGTGCCTTGCTGATCGAATAGAACGCCAACCGGGCCCTGAGGGCTTGATAAGAGGAACAACTCTGTTGGCGCATCTGTAGGCATTGCCTGAGTAGTGTTCTGTGTTCGTGGTTGAGATGTAGTAGGCACAGCTGGAGTCATTATCGGAGCGCCTGGTATTGTGCTAGAGGAAGGTCCGAGAATCGGAGTGTTGATGGCTGTGGACATGCTTGATCGACTGGGGCTTCCGCCTTGTTGACGATCGAGTATGATGTTCAACTCTAGTGCGTCCACTCTGATCTCGGTTACTGAGCGTCTCAGCGCTACCACCTCGGGTTCTGTAGGGAGAAGGGCGAGGGCCCGCTCCACAACGTTCAAGTTCTGGTTGATGGTGTTCAGGTGTTGACGGATGTGGTCAATCCGCCAAACCGGTAGGTTCAGGGGAGAGGTGTTTGAAATTGAAAGTCGATCAGTCTGTGTCTCTGATGGACGCGCAGGCTGCAGCAAGGTTCGCACGTTTTCCATCTCACGTTGTGCTTCCTGGAAGATTGTCTGGATGCGTGGCAACAAGCGCTGGGTACTGTCATGGCCCATTGAGGGAAGAACGCCTGGCGGGACCGGTGGACGACCAAACGCTATCGGCTGAGTAAGACCGAATGCAGGAACAGGCTGCCGGATGTGCGCAGGTATGTTGACCTGATTGTATGTGACTGTCCATCGTGCCCCGTTGGGACCCACGCCTTCGCGTCGTAGTGGTTGGTCGCCATTTCCGGGGAGGTTGGGCAGTCCTTGAGCGGTGTCCGCGGGTCTTGGTGCGTCTGGTCCTGGCTGCTGAGATGTCGAATCTGGGGTCTGCTCGTTGTTCTGCTGTTGCGCCATGGCCTGTGTGAACTGCTGTTGTAGTTGTGGGGGAAGAGGTAGAGGGATAGGGACCGCGTTCGCTTGGCCCGGGATATGATGGTGGTGTGGTGGTAGTGGAGGGAGCGAGTGTGGCCGAGCCTGTGGCAGCGCACGGAATGGGTTCGTTTGCAGAGGGTTTGCGGGTACAGCCGGGGCTTGCGCAGGGCGGAAAGGGTTCGGGACAGTCGCGGATCGTGGCGTAGGTGACGTTGGAGGGTTCCCAGTAGTCGGGAGCTCCCGCAGAACCAAGTGGAGGCTCTGGTCCTTGTTCTCACGTAGCTATATTCACCATCAGCGTGGGTCTACCGCACGTGGTTGGCGACCCTACATTGTCCACGCCAAACACATTGCTCAGTGTGTCGGCGTCATTGGCCACTACTCTGCCGCGATAGATGAGGCGCATGCGCTCTGGGGCAGGCTTCGAGGGCGCGGCATCCTGTATGCGGCTCCGGAGCTCTTTGACCGTGGTGGAAGCGGGGACGTCTGCGAGGTTCACACCACCCTCCACCTCAGACGAGGGTGAAAGGATCTTGAGGTTGACTGTCTGCGCTTCTTCCGCCATGGCCGCTGTGTGTAGTGAGGGACTATGGTGCGAGGTGAAGAGTGCAGGTAGAAGTCGGGAAGTGACGACGTGTCCGAATTAGAGCCTGGTATCAGCTTAGGACCACGGTCGCGCCTGCCATTTGCTATGAAGTCCAGGCGGATAATCTGAGCGTCAGTGCCGCCTCGCCTTTGGATGTTTCGAGAAGCTTGACCTGTGCACGCGATGCATTATTCAACTGTCCATGTCCAGCGGTAGACGCCGTTGCGCGCTAGAGCCCCGTCGCCGATGGATACGTCATTGGTCAACCGAGGAAGTTGATTTTCCCACCACGCGACGCCATAGCCGTCATCTCGTCGCTGGGGAATTGGCCGTCTTCCCGCACTGCAACATTCGAGACCGATGCATACAACATAGCCATGGCGTCTTCCTGTTCGCGCCAGCTCATGCGAGCCCCTCTCCGCCCGCGCTTCCAAACGCCCACACACCGACAGGCGCGCCTCTCCGTCCCGTCTCGCACCTTCTCTTCCACACGCGCAACATATGAGCAGAACTTCCACAGGAAAGAGTCCTTCAGGTCACGGCTGAACTCGGCCCTAAACAAGACCAAGATAAAATGGGAGCCAATACCAATTGCACTCGGCGTCGGCTTCCTCGGCGCATTCCAGCTCTATCGCATACAACGGAGGGAGAAGCATACCGAGGCTGAGAGACAGAATGGCGAGGAAGGTGCAGTGGACAACCAGGGCCGACCGAAGAAGCGCGAAAGGATACGGCCGAGCGGGCCATGGACAGTCCAGGTCATGTCCACGCTACCTCTCAAGGCCCTCTCGCGAGTTTGGGGACGCTTCAACGAGATCGATATTCCCTACTACCTTCGAGTACCTGGCTTCAAGCTCTACTCTTGGATATTCGGTGTCAAGTCAGAAGCCACCAGCCTAGTAGTGACATCTAATGCTAACAAGTCACAGTCTCTCCGAAGTCTCTGAGCCCGATCTCCATGTCTACCCTAATCTCGCTGCTTTCTTCTACCGCACCCTAAAACCCGGAGTCCGCCCTCTCGACCCCAACCCCAACGCCGTCCTCTCTCCCGCAGACGGTAAAGTCATCCAATTCGGTACTATCGAGCACGGCGAAGTCGAACAAGTCAAAGGCGTGACATACAGCTTGGATGCGCTTCTAGGCTCCACCAAGCCCAGCACACCCGCCCAAAACGTCGCAAACTCTCAGGTCATCACAAGCGAACATGAGAAGACCACAAAGGATGAAGAGGATACCGTCCGTGCAGACGAGGAATTCGCAAACGTGAACGGCATCTCGTACACCTTGCCCAACCTGTTCTCTGGACCCTGGCCCAAAGGCGGAAAGCCATCTGAAATGCCCACGGACCAGTCCACCGCACCGGCTGCTTCTTCAGAAGCCGAGGTACGCGCTGAAATGGCCTTGAGCGAAGCTGAGCGACCGTGGTGGGCACCGGCATCCAATAAGACACCTACCGCACTCTACTACTGTGTCGTATACCTCGCCCCTGGCGACTACCACCGTTTCCACTCTCCAGTATCATGGGTCGTCGAATCGCGCCGTCACTTCGCCGGTGAACTATACAGCGTATCTCCATACCTACAACGCACCATGCCAGGTCTTTTCACTTTGAACGAGCGCGTTGTCCTGCTCGGTCGATGGCGCTGGGGTTTCTTCTCCTACACACCCGTCGGCGCAACCAACGTCGGATCTATCAAAATCAACTTCGATCGCGAACTCCGTACCAACAGTCTCACAACCGACACTGCCGCCGACCGCGCCGCCGAAGAAGCTGCAGCTCGCGGTGAGCCCTACTCTGGCTTTGCCGAGGCCTCCTACACCTCCGCCAGTCGGGTACTAGGCGGTTATTCTCTCAAGCGTGGTGAAGAGATGGGTGGATTCCAGCTAGGAAGTACCATCGTTTTGGTGTTCGAGGCGCCAAAGGGCATAAGACCCAGTCTCGACGAGGGCTTCACTGGTATGGAGAGGAAGGGTGGCTTCAAGTGGAACATTGAACAAGGAATGAAGGTCAAGGTTGGAGAGGCTTTGGGATATGTTGAGGAGACCCAGTAATAGTCGACCCACTCTACTCATGCATATACAGCAAATGATACCAGCTAGCAACTTCGATTTTGTCTCCATGATGCATGCGCGTTGAAGCGATCTGTGTTTCCGCTGAACATGGACAAGTGCGTCTCATTCCATCACCTTTCCTTCGACGTCCTTGTTCTTCCTGTCCTGTTCCTTTTCACCCGTTCTGCTTATCTCCAGCCCTGCCACATCGAATTCCTCTTCACCTTCCTCACATGACAGCTCACACCACAACGTTCTCCAGCTAACTCCAGCAGAAGAATGGCAACCTCACGTAAAAGTGATACGACCTTGACAGCTATCAAGCCCATGACTTCGAGGAAATCAATTGCTTGTTCAGGAAACAAGAATGCCACCATGACCAAGATCATCATGAAGCAGACGATGAACTCGCGGTCACTGGAAGAATCGCGGCGCTTTACTTTTGAGCGAGACAGACGGTGGGCGGCTTTCCACCACTGGATGCGCCTTTCTTAGACGTGATAGTGACGTAGGTGGTGTGAGTGTATACGTGATCGGAGTCGTTATCGTTGCCGCAGATATCGACATCGCCGCAAATATCATCGTTGCCACAGATATCATCGTTGCCACAGATGTCATCGTCGCCGCAGATATCACCGTCTAGATTGCCGCAGCCAAAGTCACACCCGCCGTCGTCAGACTCCATGTCCGAGAGGGTATCGTCCGTGGAATAATCCGATTCGGTATCGGAGGTGTTCATAGCGGGTGAGAGCGGCTGTTCTGCTGGGAAGTTAGGAAAGAGCGTTTCAGTAGTGTTGGTGGGTGGCAGACTCATGACAGCGTTGGAGATGGCCGTGTAGATGTTTGATATTCTGTGCAGCCGGCAGCGGGTGGAAGGAGTGATTGCGCGGTGGTAGAAGAGAGTTCCAAGGTTGGTGGAACGAGGAGACAGTGAGCAGGCGTCAACGTGGAGAGGAAAGAACGCCTGGGTTAGGTCTAAACACGCCCGAACGCGACTTCCTGGACTGCAAGGCCACCTAGATTGTCGGGTGAGACCGGGTACATGTTTTGAGTTCACGCATATACAGCAAATGATACCATCTAGCATACCCGATTTTCTTCTCATCAATTCTCAAGCTGAGAACTATATCCTAGTCGCGTGCTGACTGGAAACTGCTCTACATCACTCATTTATCAAGATGAGCAAGCTCTGCCATACATCCTGTCTTCCTTCCCCCCACTCACACAGCTGACTCACTTCCCATCCATTCTACATCTACCTTACATAACCGAGCACATCAATCCGACAACGACCATGAAGGCCACAATCCAACAAACAGCGAAAATGAACAGCATGAATCCGAATAAGAGCATTGCAATCCCAATTACGAGAGCTGCTGCCGCACCAGCTGCCATCAAGATGTAGAGTAGCCCAGTATTGCGCTGATCGCGGTAGAGTTCTACTGCGGGACGAGAGTGGTAGGGCTCTACAGCGTATCGAGTGCGGTAGGGATCATAGGTAATTGCGCGGTCGACTTGGGAAGTGTTGTAGTCATTGCTTGTGACGGCGTCGCAATGAAGATCAAAGCCGAAGATGCGGAGGTAGACGGGCTGGTCTGTTTTGGTGTGGTTGGGAGCCATGGTGGTGGAGAGCGGTGGTTCTGTTAGAGTGTCAGCACAAAGTAAGGTAGTAATGCTTCTATGCGGTATACCTGTAGCGGTGCGCAAATTGGTTATGTTGAGGGACGTTGTCTCCTGCGCAGGAAACAGCGAGCGGAGTGGTCTGCTGTTGGCCAGTCGGAGTCGAGCTAGCAAAGACGGATTGAGTAAGCGCGAGAGTGAAGGTTACACAGAACCAGGATTAGGACTGAAGACGGTCGAACTCGAACTACTGCCGTTCATGGCCACGCGAGTTATCGATTGACATTGAGTACATTTTTTCTAATTCCTTAGAGGAAGATCCACATGACGAAGCATATCTAGCATAACCTTCTCCCACAATGTCTTCGTGACACTCTACCCACTCTTCATCGTTCAAGCTCCATCTCAACCTTCTCTGTTCCGACACTGATGCGGGCTATATGGCTCTCTTTATCAGTGACATTTGTCCGGACACTGATCTCTCCAGCCCGTGTATCTACTTCAATCAACCCACCACCCCCCATCATCTTACACCTCCACCTCCCACAACCTCCCCATCCGCATCAACAACCTCAAAGTTATTAACCTTCTCACCACCACCTGAATCATCGACCTTCCCCCTATACATCTGCGCTCCAACCACCATCCCGAATATCGCAACAACGAGAAGCACTCCCCAAGTCGAGTAAATAAACAACACCTTCTTCCTCCTGTACTTCCGTTCTTTCTCCGCGTCCGAAACAGGAGTCTCTGGTGGGTGAGACTGAGGAAGCGGACCAAGCTCTATGTCATCGGGGTGGGCGGGTGCGCGCTTGAAGAGGCGGGAGATGAAGGTTCCGTTTTGTGCGGGTTGGGGGCGCGGTGGGAGGCTGTCTGGGAAGGGTGATGTAGGTGAGGCGGGTTCTGGGACGGGATGGATGACGATGAGCGGCGGGGAGGTTGGTGGTGAGGGTGGTGTTGGCTGTTCTTGATGCGCTTTTGACGGTGGAGAAGGTGGGTATGGTGGCGCCTCAGGTTCTTGTGGGATTGCCGGGAGTTGGGGTGGTGCTCCGTATGCTGATGGCGCTTCTGCAGTTCTTGGGTAGAGTAACGTGGATAATGGGCGGCGTGCTTGTTCTGATGACTCCATCGTGGCAGTCTGAGGCGGAGGTAGGTCGGTGGTTGATATCTTCATGACTTTGGTGTACAGAAATGTCGGTCCGTCGCTAGATATTTCGGCGCTTGTGTCGACTGAAGTATGTCTTGATGCGTCAGGGTAGCAAGTTGATGTGATGTGGTGAGAAAAACGGGTAGAAACCAAGTGCCTGTTAGGCGCAGTACGGCCGGTGAGCGCACAGACTCGAAGTAGAAGTGAAGGCAAGATTGCTTTGAGATTAGTGTATTGTATGATGCAGTTGATGCTTCTACAGAAGTCATTCTCGAAGTCGTCTTCCGCTCCGGTTTGAGCTTCCATTGATCGATGTCAATAGTCAGTCACCAAAATTAAGTAGCCGTATCCTGCCAACTTCCCCACGCCCGAGACGACTTCTCTTCTTCATTGTACTGTTATACTAGGCCTTGTTGGTAGCTCTCGTGTTCGGCCCATTCGTCCTCCCATTCCTCTCCACCAATGATCTCACCGCTGTCGATGAGCGAGGTAGACCTGCAACGACAGCATCTTCCAAAACTTTCACGGTCCAGAGGTCGAAATATGCCGTAAGCCTTCTCCTCCTGTGGAGTCAAACCAGCCATACGGAGGTGTAGATGCTGGTCAATGTGCGGGAAGGAGCCGTCTGTAGGGCAGCTCGCGGCATGTATGGCTGATTCATTTCGAAGTGACCAATAGAAGCAATTCCGCAGGCACTGCATTCTGAAGTTGTCTGTCGATGCGTCGGCTATGTCTTTGTCGATGAACGAATTGCGTATGGCGACGTGAACGGGTCGAGATCTGGGTTCGTTTCCTGGGCGCAACTCAGGCGCTGCTACGCGCCAGTCTAAGAGTCGGCTTTTGCTTGTCCAATAGGTTGTGTTTGCGTATGACAGTCGAGATACCACATCATCCATAGCGAAACTGCCGAGAGAGATACTGTTGACGATGATCTGTGCTGGTAATTTGCTGATAGCTCGTAACTTTGGTTGTAGAACTTCGCCAGCTTCTAGATGAATCTTTTGACTCGTGCTGAGGATAGCTAGGCCGGGGATCTTCTTGCGAACTATCGTCATGGAGTACACAGGCCATTTCGAAGAGGGAGTTTCGAATTGTGCTCCCTTTTCGAGGAAACGCTCAGGTAAGTTAGTATAGTGATAGTGAGGGTTGTTGAGCCAGAAAGCAAAATCGTTGGTTCGAACGACATGGTGTATTGTCTTGACCGGGAGGAATTTGTAGACCATCAAGCGCAGTTCTGTTGGTAGATCGAGAAAGCGGAACACCTGTTGATCGGCCATGGTCGAGAGAGAAGGTTGAAGAAATCTGTAGATCGTATTGAAGTGGTCGTAGTAGGAACAGCGCTCGTAAAGTCTCAGTAGATAAGTTTTGGGCAAGGGACCTGACGATTGCGCAATCCCATTACGTAGTAATGAAAAGCTCGTTCACTTAATCGTAGTCAAAATTTGCCTACAGCCTCTTTGTGCGAGATCACAAATCTACATCTTGGTTGTCATTCAGTGGTAGCGCGACGATCCGTGATGACGAGCCACCTACAACTTCCGCCATTCATACGGTGCCCACACGAAAATCTGCTCTTGTTGAGAAGTATTGCGACAATGACCGACTCGCACGCGTGCGAATATCGGTGTTCGTTTTACTTATGGTCCGAGTAAGCTCCTGGCAGACCCTCTGACGAGATGATTCGACATTGCATTGATACTGGAAGTACGATCGAGAAGAGAAGCGCGTAATAATGTCTCATACAGCGATCGTTCCTGGCAGTGCCGCACTTGCGCATACAGTAGTCCCCACGCACGTCCAAGGAGGCGTGCATAACCGCCTCACCGGCATACGTTCGCGTCTTTTGTTGTCCGGTCGATGCCGGTGAGGTGTCGGAGAGACCGACGATTGAGTTTGGCTATATTGCGTGCATGAAGTGGCTGATGGTCAGCTTTTCGAGACCTCAGCCTTGTGTCGAGGTTTGTGTGAAAGTGGTGTAACGTGGAAGCTTAGGAAACCTCACACAGGCATCAGAACCGAAACGATAGGCAAGCTAGTCTAACACGGCTAGCACATGTCAGACGCCAAAAATAGCCCCATGACATTTTTCGGAGCTGAGGGAACATGAGCGAGATCATGCACATCTGGCTTGTATGCAGATCCGCTCGCTTTGAGATACTCCGTGATGGTGATGATGCAATCTGCCACTCTAGGCATTGAGCTCTTCGAACACGTCGCAAATGTCACGATCGCACAAGAAAAGCAAAACATCCAGTGTACAATAATGAGACGCGATATGTATAGTTTGCATACCCCAGGCGATACGCAGGGGCGGCTGCAGCTTCAGGCACGTTGAGCAGAGGAGGGCTTGCAACGCCGCCTAGACTAACAGCTGCTGTCCCCACTTGGCGTTCTTGTTTGCAGGTTCCATCCGCCGGGCTATGGGCACAGTGTATGTATCTGGATCCAGCGACGTTTGCTGTCGTCTCCTGGTGTCACTGGGATGCGGGAGTGCAGCCACAGAACGGGGAGGACGAAACGTCGATTGCGCCTTGGAAGCCCTGAACAGCAGAAAGGCGTTAGAGGCAGCCTGGCAGGGCATTGGCAATAGCAGCACTGCCACGGCTCGCGATATCAGCAACTTGGTCCGGTGTTAGCTGCACCGGGACTGGTCTTGCCTTCTCCATGTCATTCCATTAGTTCCGCATGCCTGCACGTGCGGCGGCTTGGGCTGATCACCTACGCCGTGCATCTATGTAGCTCGATGCATTGTACTTGAGGAAAACTGTCCAACCGCGCAATGCAGTCTTACCCGGGTATAGTCTATGGTTGCTCAGTCTCGTTTTATTATTAGCTGAGCGCGTCGTCTCCGCCCCGCCATCGACAACCTGCTCTGAGGCGGAGCTTGAAGCTGTCAACACTGCGATGCCTAACTTTCCATGGACCAAGTCGAATCGGTCGCACCAATCTGTCGACAACTCCTCGTCAGGGCAGCATTCGCCCGTACCACCTGGTAAGGAAGCATTTGGGCGGCCAATCGCCGGCGCCGCTGACGGGCAAGCGCTGGC